CCACATATGACACAATCAGGAGTTATGCTTTCATGGTTCTGCTTTCCAGGGAACAGAAGTAGATAAAACAATTTGAATTTCCCATTGTAATCTGAATCAGTGACTCCTGTATGTACTTGCACCCCTTTTAAATTTAAACTAGATCTACCTAGAAGTAATCAGATTGTCCCCACTGGCAAGGTCCACAGACCCCTGTTGCAACTTTTTGTAGGGGTTCCCCAGGCAGAAGACTCACAGCTTTTGTGCAGCATAAATCTACTGTGGCACTACTGGCTGTGGTGGGGGACAGATATTGTATAGGGGTGAGGGAATGGCCTCAGCTGGAAATGCCTCGTTTTGGAACGGGCCCCTCATGGCGTTTCCCAAATTTAAAAGGAAAAGGCTCAAATGTAGCTATATTTCCCTGTTGATCTGGGGGGTGTATCCTAACAGGGAACTGCCAAGCCTCTATATCACCCTTTCATCTAGCTTGCTGAATTCCTGCCTGAATAGAACTGAGAACCGTTACTAGAGGTGCTGCTCGAACAGTCATTGAGGAAACTACTTTTCACCCAGTGTCCTCCAGAAAAGAAAGATCTGGCAGGTCAGGCCACTCTTTTTCTTCAAAATAAGGAGGGGGTGCAGAAGGGTAGGGATGAACACTTCCTCCGTTGCTGCTTTAGCTTTAGCTGGCAAACAAACCTGCTCTGTCATCTCTTCTGTTACTTCCTTATACTCTCCTTCCTCCTCCTCATCAGTGTGAAAAGGTTCCAAGTTGCAAGGAACCAGAGCTCACACTTGTTCCATTGTTACCCTGATGCTTCCGAGCTCCCCTTACTCACCATGGGCATTGCTTAAGAGTACTTGGGTATCCTCCAGCTTAGTTCCACATTCTCCAACCATTACTCCTGTGACCCTTCAACCTGAGTTCGAGCCCCACATATGCACACCACTTGCCAAGACCAGCTGGGTCATGGAGACCTTAACCCAGCAGCACTAGAGGAATTAAAGACACACACAGAGAAATATAGAGTGTGGAGTGGCAAATCAGGGTGCTGACAGCCTTCAGAGCTGACAGCCATGAACAGAGATTTACCCACATATTTATTGACAGCAAGCCAGTGATAAGGATTATTTCTGTAGATTATAGATTAACTAAAAGTATTCCTTTCGGGAAACAAAGGGATGGGCCAAAACAAAAGGATGGGCTCTGGCTAGTTATCTGCAGCAGGAGCATGTCCTTAAGGCACAGATCGCTTATGCTATTGTTTGTGGTTTAGGAACACCTTTAAGTGGTTTTCTGCCCTGGATGGGCCAGGTGTTCCTTGCCCTCATTCTGGTAAACCAGCAACCTTCAGCGTGGACATCACAGCCATCACGAACTTGTCACAGTGCTGCAGAGATTTTGTTTATGGCCAGTTTTGGGGCCAGTTTATGGCCAGATTTGGGGGCCTGTTCCCAACACCTAAGTCTATCACAGCGTGATGGCTGAATTGGCAGCCAGTACCGCCAGGCATCCTGCATCATCACTGCAGGAGATAAGTTCCACCCTAGTACCCTGTCTGGGAAATAGTGCACCCACAGTCCCCTATCTTACTAAGTTTATGGGGTAACAACAGGGAGTGGTTTTTAGGAAATAAATCTGACCTGGTGTTTTGGTTTTGTGAGTGGGAGGTATTCTCAGCTGTCTCCCCACAGGGAGAGAGCCTATTATCCCCTATGCATTCTAGACTTCTGAAGCAGAGTCTCCAGTCTAAATCCCTATCCCTTGTAAAGAGAGATTGTATTGAAAATGTGTTTAAAATATCAAGGAAGGCTTTATTCAGCACAATTGTAATATGTGTCATGAGAACTACAATATGTAGTGAGATTACAGTTCTGTATATTATATTACATTTCTCATGACACGTAATAGGCTGTCTCCACGTTTAATCTCCTTCCTATATTACAGGGCAAGGTGAGGAAAAGGATGGAACTTGGTGAGGTGTCAACAGTTAGGGAAGAGAAAGCTGATGAATTATCAGGAGTGGGGGAAATTGAACTTGATTGGAAATACCAAGTTTTGGTGGGGGGGGATTCTCTGTGAACTGCCTTAAAAGGGTTTTTGCTGTAACTGGGCTCTGCAGAAGGCGGCCAAAGCCTAGACAAGAAGAGGGCTGTGAGCTCAAGTTTGGTCAAAGAAGGAGTCCTGGTTAGGTGCAGTGGCTCATAGCTGTAATCCCAGCACTTTGGGAGGCCGAGGTGAGTGAATCACAAGGTCAGGAGTTCGAGACCAGCTTGGCCAATGTGGTGAAACCCCATCTCTACTAAAAACAAAAAAATTAGCCAGGTGTAGTGGTGGGCGCCTGTAATCCCAGCTACTTGGGAAGCTGAGGCAGGAGAATCAGTTGAACCCGGGAGGCAGAGGTTGCAGTGAGCTGAGATTGCGCCACTGCTCTCTAGCCTGGGCGGCAGAGTGAGACTACTCTGTCTCAAAAACAAAACAAAACAAAAAAACAGGAGTCCTTAAGACCTCTGTAGCTTAGCGCTGTTTTTTTTGTTTGTTTTTTTTTGTTTCTGTTTTGCTTCTTTTGAGACGGAGTCTCGCTCTGTCACCCAGGCTGGAGTGCAATGGTGTGATCTCGGCTCACAGCAACCTCCGCCTCCCCAGTTCAGGCGATTCTTCTTCCTCAGCCTCCCCAGTAGCTGGTATTACAGGTGCCCGTCACTACACCCAGCTCATTTTTGCCTTTCTAGTAGAGACAGGGTTTCACCATGTTGGGCTGGTCTTGAACTCCTGACCTCAGGTGATCCACCCACCTCTGCCTCCCAAAGTGCTGGGATTACAGGCGTGAGCCACCACGCTCAGCCAGCTCTTCTTAGGAATGACAATAAATCCCTAAATTTCTGGTTTTCTCGCTACATTCCGAAACACTCAATCCTCTCTCGAAACGACGTCTTCAGTTATGTGTTTCTCATGATACATTTGAAACAGCTGCAGTATTTAAATTGTTTATTATTTTTTAGTTTAATAAATGGCTATATTTAAAATGCTATTATTTTATGAATACTTTTCATGAGAGAAAGTGCTCAATAGCCACCGGAAACTACACTGTGTAAAGTAATTATGCCTGTTGACTCCTGATGTTTAGCACCACTTCATATACTTATTGGTCATTTCTATGTATTGGAGAAACGTAATTCAAATACTTTTGCCTTTTTAAAAAATTTTTTTTGAGACAGAGTCTTGCTCTGTTGCCCTGGCTGGAGTGCAGTGGCATAATCTCGGATTACTGCAGCCTCTGCTGCCCAGGTTTGAGCAATTCTCCTGCCTCAGCCTCTTGAGTAGCTGGGATTACAGGAATGTGCCATCATGCCCAGCTAATTTTTGTATTTTTAGTAGAGATGGGGTTTCACCATTTTGGCCAGGCTGGTCTTGAACCCCTGACCTCAAGTGATCCACCCACCATGGACTCCCAAAGTGCTAAGATTACAGATGTGAGCCACCATACCTGGCCTATGCCCATCTTTTAATCAATATCAATTGGTTTTTTTACTTGGTATTGGGATTTATTATTTTTAATTATTGTAAAATAATAAACTTCAATTTTACCAGCTTAAGCAGTTTTATATAGTTGCACAACACTACATAACTAATCTAAGGTGAATTATACTGTAATTTTCTTTTTGTGATTAACTTTTTGCAATTACCATAGAATCCTCAATTTTTTGTGATTGTTGTAGCATGAGACAGGATGTTATAAGATTAACATTTCAATGTATACATACGCCTAGCATATTTTCATTATGCATGCAGCCATCAATGGACATGTGGATTGATCCAGCTCTTCGATTTTGTGAAGAGTGGTTTTCAAATATGTCTTCAAGGCTCAGTTTTCAATTTTTTCAAATTTAATATAACTAGACCCAAAAGTGGGATGCTAGAAAATACAGTAATTTTATTTTATTCTTTTAGGCACTATTGTACTGTTTCCATAGAAGCTGAGCCATTTATTATCCTTTAAACAAAGCACAAGGAGTCCCTTTTCCCTCTGTTGATGGTGTCATCTCATGCACAAAAGTGGTTTTTTTGAGATGGAGTCTTGCTGTTGCAGTGGCACGATCTCAGCTCACTGCAACCTCCAACTCCTGGGTTCAAGTGATTCTCCTGCCCAGCCTCTCAAGTAGTGGAATTACAGGTGCACACCACCACACCCAGCTAGTTTTTGTATTTTTAGTAGAGATGGTGTTTCACCATGTTGGCCAGGCTGGTCACCAACTCTTGATCTCAGGTGATCCTCCTGCCCCAGCCCTCCAAAGTGGTGGGATTACAGGCGTGAGCCCACCACGCCTGGCCGCAAAAGTTTTTAAGTTTGATAAATACTT